TCAGTGTGGCACATGCTACACCCCCTCTCTATACCGCACTGCCTGCCCTTTTACCTCTGATGATCTAATTGCCAGTTGACTTTCCACTCTCGCTAAATAAAGTGNTTAATTTTGTTTAAGAATTTTAATGAAATAAACGGTACTTAAAAAATTTCTTTTCCTTCTTTTCTTGATTCTTATAACCGTAAGTGGCACAAGATTTTGCCATTTTCTACTTTTTTTCTATATAATTTAATTATTTTCTATACGGACAGCTTCATACTACCACTTAAATTATAATCTTAGTTGCCCAAATAATTGTTTCCCGTTTCAATCTCCATGTAATCTGTGGTTAAACCCTTAATGATAATTTAGAAATGCCAGTTTTTTAAAACATGAATTTAGAAATCTTAATTAAATAATTCTATAATCGACTTTTTATTACGTTTATACGTATTCATTGTACATTTTACGACGTTGAAATTGTCTCGTTAAGAAAAAATTGCTTGAATTAACTGATAATCATTACGGACCTAGATTTACCGAATAAATAACAATTAACTCATTACTACATACATTTGCTCCCTAATGGAAAAATACAGGGAAATGTATCAGATAGCATTTTCTGATAAGTCTACTTTAGCAAAAATTAAACCAATGCTAAAAGTTTAATTTAATAAGCATTTAATTTCTTTATACTTTATTTAATACATTACACTTTCTACAAATATACTGTAAATAATGTTTGTATGAGTCTTGTAACATTATGATCATCTAACTGATGAGGGGAGGGCTATTTAATACCACGGGCCGAAATGCATTTTAGGTTATAAATACAGTAACAATGGCTTCAATTATGTGATACCCCTTCAAGAGAATTATTTACTATGTACAGTATTTGTAGAAAGTATAGTGAACGTAAAAAGTATGTATTATATACGAAGCTTGCTTGTTTGTTCCTTTGTTTCTTTATGAATTTGAACACGGTTGTTTCAGGATCACGTTGTCATCCAGGAAGACGAAACGACTACATTTTGTTGAAAAAATTTATTTCTCCCATCCGTAACAGGACTCCTATCTATCATCAAGATTGCGCCATTTGAACAGAAAAATTATTGAAGAACATATATGCGCAAGATTAAAATATGTACTGTACCTAGACATTTTGAATCGTTGATCTATTTGCATTGAAATCTGATTAGTCGGTTTATTATCAATTGGCATCTACTTACCAAAATAAATAAATAAATAAAACGATAAACACATTTAAGACTTTAAAAGAAATGATTAATAAACTATTTTATAAACAATGAGTTGAATCTGTAGTTTATTATCATCGAGATATCTGTTTCTTCAACTCAGTAATAAAAACGGTTAATGAAAAAATTTTGCAACGAGTTGTGTATCTTGGCTGTCATGAGATTTTATTCAATAAATAACTTTTATATTATTAATAATAATAAATAAACTGTGGCGTCATCTGTTATGAGGTTTTGTTATTAAAAATGTATATTTTTAATTGTTATAAAATATATATACTTGTATATCCACTCCCTCGACCTTACACAACTAAAATTTAATAGCATCAATGCTCCTTATACACAAGTCACCATGCCAAATTTCGTTTCTTAATTATTTCCCTATCCTGAGATATTAAACGATATATCCGAAATAGATGACAACATACACGCGGAATTTTTTCCCGTCATTTGACATTTTGCAAAAAAGTTTTGAACTTGATGAATCGAAATTGGTTCGCTTCCTTGTCTGCTTGTCTATGAATCATAATGAAATATCCACATTTCATTAAACGCGATACACAATTTAGAACTTTTTAATGATTTCTTTTAAACCGATTAAACATTTCCTTACACAAATTCATTGTGTAAGGAAATGAATATTGTGCAGTCAAATTTTAGGTGGAATCCAGTGAGCACGGATTCAAGACACTTGCAAGCGATGTTTACGTGAGCACTGCTACAAGAAATTTAAAGCAGAACCACCAAATGAAACATGCAACTCAAACTTGAAACCGATACCTCGCGTTCCTAAACGGAACGTATTATTTAGAACACTTTAAACTGGAACTGAATTTCGTTGCTAGGTTTTGGAATAGTTTGTTGAGATTCATGAGATCCCTCTGACAAATGATGTTCGAATAAAATGAACTTTTTCCCAAAAATCTTGAAGATGTTAGTGACAAACATTGATGAAAAGTTTTATCAAGCCATTCAACCACAGAAAAGAGATACCAAGGTTACAGGGATTCAGTGATGCTGGGAGACTACTGCTGGTTTCTTGTGAGAGAGCAGCTGTACAAGAGAAAATCAATATCCAAAAGCACTTTTAAAACGTTTGCATATGTTTAATGTTTAAAATACTTAGCAATTTCATAGTACAGTTATTTCATGTCAGCTTATAGAAGAGCAACTTCTAGCGCAAGGACCAGTGGCCAAGTGGATAAAACCACTGAACATCTTTTAATCCTTCGTGTTAGAAAAATTTGAAGATGATTTTTGGGGGATTGATCAGAAAATTTTTTTCTGTGGAAATCACCTATTTTAATGCTGCTATGTAATTTTAATTTATGTTGGATAGTGTTATTAATAATATTAATATCTAAAGATAATAGCTGTAAGTTTTTTTAATTTAAAAGCATTGTAGAATTCATTGAAAATTTTTAATATTCTAAAAAAAAGAAAATAAATTTTAAAACTATAATCCAAATAATAACAAAATATTTTGATTATTTTTTAGAATTTGACCATCTGCATTTTAATTCTTATTCTACACAAAAGAATGCTGTCCCGGAATGGAGACCTAGCACATTTGCTAAATAACTCTGGAATACTTGTCCACAATCATATAAATATTAAAAAAACGCCAATAGTTGTTTCTTCTATTTGATTTATTGTCCCCATACCATAAACTCCTAATAATAGAAAAACAACGCGAAAATATTTTTTGATTTGGATTATTTATATTTAATGTGTGCGCTTATCTGAATTATTTAAATTTATTAACGAACAGACATGATTTCTTATTTTATGTTCTCTCAAATGTAACGCATGTGAATTTTATCTAACAATTTCGTACTTTTCATATATTAATGTTTTGTTTCCTATTATGTTTTTAACATCTTGATAAATTTATATGGTAACTATCTCAAATAAATTTTCAGTCTTTATGAATTTAGTGCCATGTTCATTGAAATATTATTTTATAATTATAAATATTAATTAAATTTGTCATGTATAAGGGGCATTGAAGCTATTAAATTTTGGTGGTTAAAGGTCGAGGGATAAGAAGATAAAGGAGTCTCATATCTTTAGTAGGGTCAGAATTAATGATGATGTTATTCGTTATTATTATTTATAATTTTTTAAAGACTCGACACTACCATTTTATAATAATTAAAAATATAAAAAATTTTATAACAAAATCTCATAACAGATGGCGCCACACAAAATTTTATTTATAATNGGCGGGATATATATGCAGTTCATTAAGAAGTAGGTTGGGAGACAACACCATCAATACCATTTGTTTCTTGAGACCCAACTTCCAGAAAAGTCAAAAAGAAAAAATAAAATAAAATAACAGAAGTGATTGATTTAATTTTATTTAATCCTTTAAAATACTTTATTCAAGACAAGACTAATATTTCATAACTTCTAATTCTATTAAGTAAGAGTTTTAAACTTTTTTTCTATAAGTGGTTAGTGGGCTATGCTAGGCAATTTTATTGTTAAAATTAGTGAGAAACTGAGACTACCTAGTTAGTTAAATAGTTAATTAAATTAATGAGTATCAGTATCTTAGATATTTGATGATATGAATGTATATCATTCATGATTGTGATAATAATAACTATTACTAGACTACTACTAATTACTTACTCACTACTTTACTAACACTAATAATTAAATTACTTATAAATAAGTACAGACTGATATGTAGAGCCTATATAAGAAAACTGGTAAGACTGATAGCCACTTAGCCACTGATTATCCGTCTTTACATTATTATAATATAATATATTAATATAAATTAATTAGTAGAATTACCTCTACTATTATTTAACTTAAAGATTACATTATAATTATAATCTAATCAAACGTTTAAAGTTAATTATCTCTATCTCAAGTGTTAAACCGAACCAAAATTAAGTTTACTACCTAAATGTGTAAGAAGTTTTACTGATTTACTGTATAGTGACCAGTCTAAATAATAAAAGTTTCTTAAGTATTTAAAAAAAATGTTTTATTTCTTTAAAAAAACCATTGATTACTGGATAGATAGATAGATAACACTTTATTGCACCAAAAATACATATGCGCTGGATCCGCGCTGGATCCAGCTGGAATGATGTTGATCCAGCAAAAATCCAGCTGGATTGAAAATACTGCTGGATTGCAATCCCTATTTGTCACCCAAAGCAATCTTAATATCACCTTTGATTCAATGTTAATTACAAAATGTTCTACGATTTCATTTTGGCGCTCGGGGCACATGTCCACTTTCGCTCTTATTAGTTACGCCTCTGTCCTTGTCCCACCAGTGGTCAAGCAGTTCCGTTTCTTGAATGCTGGGAGTTTTCATGTTTTCTCCACGTCTGTAACGCTTGAATAGGGACCAACAATACTTAAAAAGACCTTCCGGAAGGCATTTTCTTTAGGCAGATCGCCAAGTGTTGTATTGCCACAACTTAACCAAACAATTAACAAACTGTCCTCTGGATATGTCGGGTGCCATCGCTCACCACCCGGCCGCCCCATTGTAGACTTGACAGAACACATACGGGGCTTGGTAAAAATGTCTCTCTTACCCCCGTATTCACCAACAGGAGTTAGAGTTAGAGTTAGGGTTAACTCTCGAGTTACTGGTAAATTGGTATTCACCAACTCCGAATCTCGAGTCAAACACAATAACCCTAACTCTAACTCTAACTCTAGAAAATCGGCGAGTAGACGATAACTCTAGGTTTGACGCCTGCGCAAAGCGGTTTATTTCAGAGAAAAATGGCGACATTCGACGAAGACAAAGCCGAGATGCTAGAAAATCTGAAATATTTAGATTATATAGATCGTATGGAACGAAGAAGTCGGTGGATTATTTTTCCAAGAAGAAATGACCTCGAACAATTGGACGATTACGACTTTCTATGTCGATATCGTTTGCCAAAAGAGAGCGTAAGAAACCTATTAGAACGAATTGGTTTTCTCCTCCTGTTTTAAATAATTCGGCTTTTTTTGTGCCTGTTCTTTCACGGCTTTCTTTTTTTAAATTCTTATAACAGTCCAATAACTGTTTGGTTTTTCTAAGGGTGACACCCGGGATACCATTGAATTCCTTTGTTAGTTCGTCCCATGTGCCTCTCTTCTGTTTGGAAGAAATCGCATTTGTTTTCTTGTTTTCAATGATCGATTTATATTTTTCGACTAATTCAAGTAGAAACTTCTCAAAATTAGAAAAATTACGGCGTGCACTGCTTTCCATTTCACTTTCCGTCATTTTCTACACGTGTTTCTATTCTATTCTATTCGTCTCCTCCCTGGTTCATACACGTGTTTGCTTTCAACCAATCAAACTCTGCTTACGAAAGAAGACTTGTTTAATCTCGAACGCAGGATTGTTTTAAAATTTTAACTCTAGAGTAGCGAAACTCTAGAGTTAAATTTTTATCTGAATACGAAAGAAGAGTAACTCGTAATTTGACTTCGAGTTACATCTAAACTCGAGTTCGTCAACTCTCTGTTTAACTCGTGTTGGTGAATACGGGGGTTAGTGCCCACAGAGCGGTGGCACTGAAGATCGTTGAACAATTTTCTGTTGCAGTTTAACAGTTCGTAGTGTGCATGAATCCATGTGGATATAAAACAGGTTTTTTAGTACTCACAAGACGAAAAAAGAATCACGCCGTAAGTATATGGAGTATATAAGTCAATCAGCACTAATAAATTTGCTTGTGAGAATCAAGTTCACCCAATAATTTGAACGCGTAGAATAATTCGTTTCCTTGTAATTTAGAACCATCATACTTCAGCGATACTATCAGGCCTTTATTTTATTGAATCACATGGCTATTTTGAATGCGCATAAGTCCCATTCCTTTGAAGAAATCTATGGTGAATGTATAGGAAGAAGCGCAGGTAAAAAAACATATCAACACCGCACGCTTTTTAATGATGATTAATTATTAATCAGTATATTAGTAGTGGTTTTATAATTTTAATATCCTAATTTAGTAAAATAAAGGTGAATAAGTTACAGATACATTTTAATTTGTGAAATCGTATTCATACACGTACTACTTTGTAGTAAACGACGAAAAAGTACGCAGATTCAAACAAATTTATATGCAAACTCTTATAATTGGTCAGAGTAGAATTAACTGTTTTCATTCCAAGGAAAAAGCAGGGCTAACTGGATTCCGAAGCAAGACAAAAGAGACAAAAAAACTAAATGCAAAATTAGTGAACAAGCAAGATGCGCAATTAGAGTTCACATTGGAAGTTTTCCTAGAGTCTCTTCTACTTATTGTAGGCAAAATACTGAAAGAAAATTTCTGAATGCTAATGCTCTCTATTATATACGGCATGTACAAAGAAAAATGCATTGTTGATGAATTTCTCCTTAAGGAAAAGTGGATATATTAACACATATTTATCACTGACTTCAATTTAAGTTTTCTTTAGCAAACAGGACCAATTTGCACAGGATTTTTTCGGTACAGTGTGTCCATTTGTAGACTGATAAAAAAAAAACAATAAACAGACAAATGAGGATAAAGAAAGAACAACAATCCATATCATGGAAAAAATTGTGCTAGGAGAAAAAAGAATTCTGATAACAAGATGCTGACGCTGAAACAGAGGTTATGTGTTTTGATATGCAGAAAGTTTTCACGTGTCTTCAGTCAAAACACTAATCTCTTAACAAAAGAAAATTCGCTGTATACAACTTGACAGCTTTTGATATTGGTGAAAAGAAGAGCTGCTGTTTCATTTGGCATGAAGCAAAAACTGACAGGAGTGGAAATGATTTCGCTTAAGTAGTGCTTTGGTTCAAGTTTTAAATACACTGATGTCAAACAGATTACATATAAAAAAAATAATAATTTTACGGTCTAACTCTTGCGTACTCCAAACAGAAATGCTTTCATGTCGTCTGCCATTTCGGCTGTGTACAAGAAGTTTATACAATGCATAGCGTTTTAGATAGATTCGTGAAACATTTGGAGTTATATAGACCATTAGTCATTGTCAAAGCAATGATACAATGTCGGTCAGAAAGTCAAATGAGATCACACAAGTGCACAAAGATATGATCAAAGATTACAAAGTTATATTACAAAATGCTAATCTTTCGAAAAACGTTCCATTCTCAAAAATCAAACATTTGATATACAAAGATACTGGTGTCATGTATAGGACATTACTACAGAAACATTTCAGTCAGTAGCTTATCAAAAAGCCTATAGTACTCATAGTAGAATACCCAAAAAAGTGTCGCATGCCAAAGTTATCAAAAAAAATTTGATGATGACAAACAAATGATCAAAAATATCAAGTTTTTATATAAATATTTTCCCAATTATGAATAGGAAATTAGTTTTCAGAAGTAATATGCAAGTCTTCTGAATGATATAGTGTGTACAATGACTATGTCTACTCAATTTTTATCAGTTGGATTAAATTAATAAAAATAAAATAGTGTTATAATACAATGACATTATGAACATGTTTTTTAATAACTTATTATAGAAAAGTATGCAAAAAGCCGTATCACTATAAGAGTAGGTCGTGATTCTAAAATAATGTTTTATCTCCTACACCCCTATCTCACATCTATATAATAATACATGCACTAAACTGGCAAAAAAAAACATTCTGTAGAAGCCAGTCAACGAATAAAATATATTAAAAAGTCTCATATTTGTGTCTCAAAAAGTCTCATAAAAAAGTTACCGATACTTGAAATTTGTAAAGTCCTGTAACGAAAAATTGGAAAAAGTGAAGTTAGAGCATTGGGAAGTGCTATATTATTTGTAATTATATAAATTTCTAGAGTGAGTTTCTTTCTTATTAGACATAAATTATTTACAAAACTCTTCACCAATCAGTTTAAGAGTAATAAATTATTAGACTAATAAGAAGGTATGTTATACTGAAATAAGCAAACTGAATTTTAACGTAAGTTGTTAAATATTTCAATTAAACCCCTTTAATTTTCGTATTTAATTTTAAATCACTGTTTGTATTTTTAATTTAGCTACTTAAATTATACTAAGTCTACTTAATTTTTCTAAATTAAAATAATAATTTATGCGCATTTAAATATTTTAAGCTTATAAAATAAGATATAGTTTTGTATATTATCATTTTTTCATTCTTTTCTGATGTTCTGCGTCTTTTTTGAATGATTAAAAAGTGATGTATTTTTATTCAAAAAATGACAAAGAAGAGATATTTCTTGTCACGTCAAAAGGAAAATTCATTTTTCTATCATTGGTTATTTCCAGGCGATATAATAGAAAATAGGACAGAAAAAAACGGCAGACGAAGTGTGGCTGTAGGAACCATGACATCTTCTAGAGGTTTCATAATTTTCGTTTTTATTTTTTCTTGTTTAAATTTCACTTTATGCTTCCCTGATGGAGCACCAGCAGAAGCCTGCGATTCTCTTCTTCCAAGACATGCTGGAACATCTCCAAGCCCAGTTGAAGAATCACCTTACGTTTTTATCGCATCGGATGATAAATATTCTTTCAATAATCCCGAACCCATTAAAAGTAAGCTTACTTTTACATTTTATAATGTATAAATTTTTATAAGTTTTTATCATAGATGTATTGGAGCTGTAGCTGTTTTTTCGTTAAAAATTAAAAATACTGTAGATTTTGCTTTACTGTCGTTAACTTTTCCAAGGCTCGCTTAACGGCGGTTTTCTGGAATTAAGTCGTAAAATGAAGGATTTGTTATATCAGGTAATTAAATGTAATTGACATTAGGAAATTATCACGATTTTTTTAATGTAAGCACTAAAGATTACAGATTAATACTCATTTTTAAATACTAGCAGAAGCATTTATTAGCTATTTATTTAGCTACATTATTACTGTAATGTTAATAGTAACTTTATAGTACTAGTATTACATGTAGTTTATTATAATAATTTGAAGTTATTTTCTATTAAGTTGACTTGCAAAATGTTGTGTAGTTGATGAACATAATCAATAAGTTATAAGTTATGTTTTATTAAGTAAATATTAATGAAAATTAAAACATTGGAGTTAAATCTTTCTTAATTATTATTACATCTCATATCGTTAATTTTTTGTATAAATAAAAATAAACAAATTTACTAAATAGTATTATTTTAAATATAAAAGCTTTACTTTCCAAAGCTGCTGTTACATATATTGTAACATTCTTTTTCATTTTTCATAATAGCATTACATTTCTGTCTTTACTATGATATTTTTCATATTTTCTATAGTTTTAGTAAATTATGACTTGGATTAGTTAAGTATAACAGTTTTTAATGCTTGAATAATTTAACAATGTCTTCAATAACACATCTATTAACGAAAAAATAAATTTCTGGTAAACATTTTACAATCATCTTTATGATAATTTTTCGCTTCGTTATTAAACAAGAATAATATTTATTTATTTTATTGATAATGCTCATTTTTTAAAATAAATTAAATAATTTATATTTATATTTTTAATTAAAAAATAAATAATTTTTATTTCACTACTAAGGCAAATTAAGGTGTGGCAGTAAACAAAAGCATTTTTTTAACTAGAAAAAAAGAAATCGAACGTATAAATTGTAGTCTGCTGACAAGTTATTTTTTCGTACAATTATTAATGAACATCTTCGGGCGAAGCTGTCAACTTAAATAAGAAAAATGAGATTAAATCTCGTATTAAAAGACGAATGTTATATTTACACAGAAGGTAAATAGTGCGATTTTATCATCTAGACACAGATAGGGAGAAAGGGCCTCTCATAACTAGGTCATTTTAACTCTTTTAAATTAGGATAGACCGTGTATCGAAGTTTTTGTTCGTCTTTACTGTTTTACTTTCTTTAAAAATGTCTGGAAAAGTGTTTATGTTTTAATGTAAACGGAAATCTAAATTTCATATTCTGTGATGATTTACAGAAACATTTTAGAATTGTTTTAATTTATTTGGACGTAATGAGAAGAGGTTTTTCGTTTAGGAGTTCCAAACACCGAGGATTGTAACCGCCAGAAGGATCATTATGTAAGAATCGATAAATTACTAGGAATCGTTGAGGGTCGATGAATAAATTTAGTTTTATTCTATTGGGAAATATATTATAAAATATTAATATACTATAATTTCTTTATATTTAAATTTCAAAAAAGTGTAACATACAATTTTGAATTTAAATTACTAAACATAATTTTTTATTTTATTTCATTTTTAATTTATTCTTATTTTATGATAGCGTAGAAAGGGATCGGCGTATTAAATTCTAATTTAAAAAGGGAACCAAGAATAAACAAGCTTGAAACGTCTACTAGAAACAAAGTCTACTTATAACGAGTCTCTTTTTTTCTTAAATAAGTTAAATTTTCGAAGATTATATTATTTATATAAGTGAAACATTTTTATTATTCCTTAGTAAATTTTAACAATGATATACAGCACTTGTATATCGTTTAATATAAATGAAATAATACCGAAATACTACTGAAACATCTGAATTGTGGTATTAGATGTTTATGAATTTTTACTTTCGAATTCCTCTATTCAGTACAGATTTACGGAACTCCTTTCAAAGGATTTTTGGTAGCAGCTATCGATCCGTTGACAGGAGAACGTATAGGAAACTGGATGAAAGGAAAAGGCACGGGAACTTTACCTTGTGCTGCAGTAACGCATTCGGATGGTAGAGACAAAACGCACGCCGTGTTATATTGGTTACCACCTAAGAATAAAATGGAAGGAAATGTCATTTTTATGTGAGTATTTTTCTAATTCAAATATGAATTTAAAATTTTGAAAATCATTTTGCAAATGTATAATATCGAATGGAAACTTTGTACTTTCATAGGGGCACTATACTTCAATCAAAGTCGTTGTACTATGCAGGACAGATTGCAAACATAGCTAAGGATGAAACTTACCAGACAGAATAACAATTCAACCGACAATACCACCCAATTGTTTTCGATTTAGTTTATTTTCTTTTAAACTTAATATGAAGTAGGCATTAATTCTATAAATTTTCGGTATATGTTCGGATATTTAAAATCGACTGGGTATTCTGGCACTGTACTGATTTCCTATTAAATTTAAATATTGATTACATTTGTTTTTCTTCTTTATTTTTATATTTTGAGCTTGTTCAATTACTGGATAATTCAAAAGATTTCTCATATATAATGTTCGTGGTTTAACATTTAATATAGTAAAGCCTTCGAAATAGACTTTCACATTAATGTCCAGAAAATGTGATTATATATCTTATATTTTATGCGCGACTTATCATTCACTTCTTATACATTTTTATTATATTATTTCAATAAGTAATAGATTTATTCATTCGAATTAGGTTATATTAACTATTTCACGTTATTACACACTTAGATTAAATAAACAATTTCGTATAATTTACGGTAACGTTTTCTTAAACTTAATCAAAAAAATAAAAATTATTTTTTATCTGAAATCTGTTATTGCTGTCAGAAAGTATTTCACAGAAAATACTTTAAAGCAGAAAAAACTCAAAGAAATTTCAAATCAAAACGAGAGTTTACGTTTCAAAATTTCAGTTCGATCTCTTAGGCAAAGCCGTATTTAGACATTTGTTATAGGAGGCGCGGAGGCTGATTTTGATGTCTGATACGAATAATTCATCAAAAGAGCTAGTTAAGAATACCGGCTGGTCTTCCTCTCGGACCCCTTTTACTTTTGTATTTCTCACCAGTAGCTTCGTCCGCTCAAGCGCGTGATTTTTCGTCTGTTATAGAGTCCGAATGCAAGTTACTCGCGCGCCACCTGGTGGCAAATATTTACATAACACATAGGAGAAAAATCCAAAGGGTTTCTTCTCCTTTTGAACCGTTAACAGAGAAAAAGTTTCTTGTTACAGAAAATCAAGTAATTGGTAAGTTTAAATTGAAAATTTTTTATAAATTTTAAATGTTTTAATAAAATATACAATTAAAAAATGGAACTTTCATTAACTGGAATGTAATTTTTCTCTTTTAGTCAATAATGCCTGATATAATTGTAACATGTGGCTTTCAACCAGTCTATAATGACAACTTTTTTACACCTTCGAGATGGAAAAAAGGAATTTTACTCGCAAAGGCTAAGCATATAGCTGCAATCAAAGAAATAAAAAATGATGGAGGAAGTACAGTTACAGCTACTTGCCTACCCCAAATGAAAATTAATCAGAAACCATATTATATTTGTATTAAGGTATTTTTTACATTTAAATAATTTTATATGTCAGCTTAACATCTCTGCAATGAACAAACAGGATGATTTGCATGACAACAAAACAAAATTGAATATCACTGCTTTTATTAAGCTATATACTGTTGAATTTTTCTTTAATAAAAATATTTCATATCATGTTTTGTGAATTATTTTTAATACAAATTAATTTTCAGTTATCATCAGATAGAAAAATAATTACAGCAACATGTAAGTGCAAGGCAGGTATCCATGGTCAGTGCAAACATGTAGCAGCAACAATTTTTGCTTTAAATAATTATAAAGACGAAAGCGTTAACAGTGGAAAACAACAATGGGGAATTCCACAACATAAGAAGATATACACATCAGGTGGATGTCGCCTTAGTAATTGTGTAACTCCAAAAAAAATAAAAATACCAGCATCGTTATCATCAAATGCACCATTTTCATTATATCAAAAAGTAAAACACATTAATTGTGCTCTTTCTTCAATGTTAAGAGCTGAATTCGATGAAGAAACACAATGTCAAATGCTACTATCTGATTTAATCGACACAGTTCATGAACAATGTGAGGGAGGAATTAGATTTAAAATCTTTAATTACACAATTATTTCAAAGTAAACGTATGAATGATTGTTATAAAATTGTTGAAAACCTTCCTAAAAAATGAAACTAAAAAAACTTAATTCATTTACAAATGCTAACATTTCAGAAAAATTGTTAAAATTTTATAACGATAATGTGATTGTCATACTTCAAAAAATTATTCAAATAGCATTTCTCACAAGAAAACAAAGCGCATATCCAGACTGGTTCATTTACAAACGATACAGATTAAGCAGCTCTATGGCTCATTCTGTAAAAACAAGAAAAAACAATTTTGAAAAATTGGCTTTTAGATTTTTAAATAATACATTCAAAGGAACAATTGCAACTGATTACGGAATTAAATTGGAGCAAATTGCAAAAAATTCGTTTTCGCTTAAAAAAAATATTAGAATAATTGATGCAGGAGTTATCATTTGTAATGAAGCTCCCTGGATTTGTGCAAGCCCTGATGGCATATGCAAAAAAGGAAATAAAATAAGCTTACTTGAAATTAAATGCCCGTACACGTGTAAAGATAAAAAAAATTGTTGATTTCAAGACAAATGAGATATTTGTAAAATATTTAGAGTTTAAAAATTCTAAATTTTATTTAAAAGAAAATAGCAGGTATTATACACAAAGTCAATTAGCTTTATATGTAACAAATATTCAATTTTCTTATTTATTTATCTATAGTGATGTACAAAATGTAATACTTAAAGTGGAAAAAAATGAGACATTCATTTATTCATTATTAGAGAAGATGCAAATGTTCTACTTTAATTATTATTTACCTGCAATTGTAAATAGTATTTATGTATTAAGTGTAAATAGTATTAAGTATTAAGTGTAAATAATATTAGGTTTTATAGTGTTTTCACAATAAAAAAATTTTACTCATTTATAATTGGTGGCTGCAGATTTACTAATACTACACAAACAAACATTATTTTATCTACATATGGAAGAAGTGAAATGGGTAATCTGCAGTTCAATATTTCAAAAATTTTAATTCTACCAATGGCTGTCTCAACGTGAATTCGTACACGAGCAATTTTGTATGTTTCGTCCATTTCATTACCACTAAACTGCTTTTGATTTGGTTTTGAAAAAGGAGGCATAATTAAAATAGAATTTTTATTTTCGACAGCCAATTTAATTTGAGGAAACTCTCTATCAGCTATAACAATAGCTCCCTTCTCCAGTTTTTGCAGAATATCACAATCATTTGTTATAAACGAATCTGTACTTCTTCCTCCATACCCACTAGAAAGAAAAGTTATAAGTCCTGATGGATCAATTCCAATTAAATATTTTATAGTGTAAGCAGATTTATAGTAGGAATAAAACTGAATTTGATGTTGAACTGATGATGGCTTCTCAGTTTTAATTTCTGTACAGTCAATGATTACTCTTGTTTCAGGATAATTTTCTTTAAATGATTAAGGTAATGTAGCCTTAATAGATAATTTTGTTGGCCAAATAATCCAATCTTGTGTTGCAATAAAAATAATTTCTAAAATTTGTAAAAAATATGTTTTAATGGTGGTTCTATGAATTCCAAACAATGCACCTAATGCTGAATAGCACAAACCCAACTTTAACTTTATTAGAAAAATTAGTAACTTATTTTCCCAAGACAATTCATAAACTCTAACAGGACTGTTTGAAAGCATGTCTAAAAGTAAATTAAAACATCGAATCCTACTGATGTTAGATCTTTTAAAGATTGATCATCATGAAAATTTGCTGCACCACTAAAATGACATGACCTATGATTTTCTCCACATTCTTTTGAAACCATTTTAACATGGGAAACTTCAGTTTCAGAAACTTTGTTACTAGTCATGCAAATAAAAATTCTTACATCTCCAAACTGATCGTTTGTAACCTCTGTTTGAGTTCCAAAGTCATGTTTTTGTTTTTCTTTAGGGTCTAAAAACTTGTCTTCAATTGCTACATCGAAGTGTCTTCCTGCTTCTTCAAATAAAATGTTCCTTCTGTTCATTAGGCGTTTATATCTCTTCATTGACTGTTCATGTCGACAATTTTCTTCATTGCTTCTTTTTTCAGGATAGATTGTTGGATTATAATTTGGACATCTTGGATCTTCACTTTTTTCCCCATCTATAAAATGCATACTACATATCCGTGCTGATTTAGAGGGTAGCCACTGTGATCCGTTTTTACTAAATTTACAAGGATATTGTTAGAAAATTATTCGTGTCAATTTTTTAAAAATTAAAAATAAAATTTGTATTTCTTACTTTTGTCTTTTAGCAAAATTTATCCAAGTTTGGTGCCTCTATTTAAGGTGTGGACGTGCCGGAAAACAATAAAATGAAACTTTCGGCGTTACATGTTGAGTGTTTGCTAGTGTATTAGAACATCCAAACACAGAACAATTTACATTTGATTTACCCATGTTTAATATTATAACTCAAATAAAAATTAACAATAAGCGATTTACTGTACTGGGTATCGTTTAGGTATCGTAATGTCTCAGATACAACGCATATGCATTCTTTAGAGAACTCCTATGTGTTATGTAAATATTTTCCACCAGGGCGACGCGCGAGTAACTTGCACTCGGACTCTATAAGAGACGTTTGTCTATTCTTCCGAATTCAAGACTCTACGCCATTGTTATATTTGGAATAATATATTTATCATTGTAAAATCTATTGTTTGTTTGTAGAGAAAAAGAATGGAATCGAAATACACAATTTCATATTTTCGTAGCTTTTAAAAATATAGCCTAAATATTTAAAATCAAGTTTACGTAAAGTATGAAAGACTATAATATTTATTAAATATATTCTATATATGTTGACTGCATTATTATTTTTATGTACTGTACAGTACATATTTATTGCTATCGATTAAATTATTATTTTTATTATTATATTAATAACTAGCCAAAAATGTATTAACTCCTTCTTCGATCCTGGTTCTCCGGAGAGGTAGATTCAGGAATTAACCAACTCGGCCATCCGACCGTCAAATTATTTAGGTTATTATTCAATTGTTGATTTCTGAAAGGTCATCATATAAATTATTTACATTTTCATAAAAATATAAAGTATTTTGTTTCATTATCAAACTGTTTATTGTATATT